GATTGTATTGAGTGTGTGTGTAGGGAAAGGTAGAATCCTTGGTTAGCTTGCTTGTTAGCTGAACCGTGAAGTCATTATTAAGTCAGATATACTACCCTCCTTTCGAAGTAGTCTAGTCCTACAGACCGATAAATTGGCTATCTGTCGGACTAGTCTTCTCTTAAAAGAGGATAATATACCTTACCTAATAATGACTACACGGTTCAGCTAACAAGCAAGCTAATCAAGGATTCTCCCTTTCCCTACACACTAAATGCAATCGGCTGTAAATTATATATGCCAATTTAAGGTTTTGACCCAATTACATGGTTCACTGACCATAGAAATGTTATAGTGGGAAATTATTACATGAGGTGAACTTTCAAAATTAAATGACAAATTACAATTTTGTCCCTAATTTCACAGTTCACTGAACATGGGCACATATATATTCTTGTTAAGAGCTTATCTTTACACCAAATACTTATTAAGTCCCATTATATTGCTTAGTGCATAATTTTGATATAGATACAATGGAGACATTGAGAGTCATTTACAGAGAATAAAATGAACATGAAGAAAAAAACAATAGTCATGTTAGTCATCATGGAAGTTAACCATTCAATTTTTTCCTTTTCTCCTCTGATTCTATTTAGACAGAAGATTTTGGATACCTTGTTTATTTCTCAGCTAAATGTGAATAAATCCAGATTTTTGGAAAAAATGTATTTTCGTGTACAGTGTAGTGTATTCATGGTATACATACATGTAGTGATGTACAACCACAGTTAATACTTATAATTAAACAGCCTTCGGGGACACGTCACCCACACTTTTAGAGATGAAAAGTCTGATTATTGTTATACTGTATATTTAAACAAATCTGTATTATATTTAATCTGAATTTATTTGTTTTTTAACTAGTAATGTACAAAAATGTTCATGTAAATGTCATGAATGTATTGATTTGTGCAAAATCTTTTTAGCAATGAACAAATATTGTTGAACTGAGAGTTGGTGGATCAATATTACTACCTGAGTACATTGTACCTTCTCAAATTACTACCCTACATGTAGATAACAAGTGCCAGACAAGTGAAATTGTCAATTAACACATTGTTCTCTGTATCTTTTATGTATTTGTAATTGATCAATTTGATTTTGAGACTAAGTTTTGGCACATGAAGTCTGGGTCTGCCATTTCCATATTTTCTACATTGACTGTGGTCTGTCCCAAGGCCTCTAATCCTAAACAAGGCTGCCAGATATCAGAGCAGTCTCGGACTAGGAAACAGGGTGATTGCCATTTGCTGGTGATTTGGAGTGCTGGCACTACTTTACAGCTGATATTCAATTGAATATTGTTTTTATTTTTAGTATAGAGTTCTTATTTCTGCTCGGATATTTCAATACAATATTGAAAATAAAAACTAAGAAAAAAAGTATGACTTTGATTTAAAGAAAAGAATTAGCATGTCCATGATAGTCTTCACGATAAAATTTTTAATCAATTTTGGAAAATTTTAGATAGATTCTGTACATATTGGCCTGTAGAGAAAAAATTATTTCATCAAGGAATTTCATGTCAGATATATATATCCAAGTACATGTATGTATACAAATTTGATGAAGTCTGAAACATGTTATTAAGGCAAAACATTTGAAGTGAGGTAAAAGTGTACCCCATATACTGACTTACAGGCGTCATTAGCATGATTATGGAGGGAAAAGTTTAGACGTAAGCTGAGTTGTAAAAAATGGTTGTAATATCTGTCATTGTTTATCTACTACATGTACATGTTTACAGCATAAATCACATTAGTCTATAGTAGTAAGTCTAAATGATTTTGATGCTGCAGACTGCTATAGTCATGTTAGTGTTAAGACAGAAAATCTTCAATGTCAACTGGCAATGAATAGTTTTTCCTATTTTCTCCAAGGATACACATGTTTACAGGTAAATAACTTCATTATGGTTGTTTATTTTTGTTGCATACCTTTTATTTTAATGTTCAAAGGACCACTGCATAGACAAATTTGGTAAATGTTTGAATATTTGATATTAGAGGGGACATTTTGTTTGTTTTGATAAAGGTCATCAGGTGACTTACAGATGTGTCTTGTTTACCTGACAGTGACAGAGTATATGTAAACATGTTTTCATTTTGTGAATGAAATTTGTCCAGGTATGTGATATCTTTTACACAAGATCAATTAAAAGCAGCAGATGTCTGCGAAGAATTTTTGTGAAGTGGGGAAGATATATGATTATCGTACATTTTCATTGAATAAAAATGCTGCTAGGAGACAGCCGAGACATGATGAATATCCCTGTGATCAGTGACGGATAGCATCAAATAATTAGGAATAGAATAATGTTGTTGTTTCATACTTAAAATTTAATGGATTCAGAACATTTACAACTGTTGTGCCCCTGTTTTGAAAATAAATGAATATTACATAGAGGAACATTTAATGTTTCTGGGTTACCAATGTACATTGTATCACCTTCAACCTTAAGCATTCATTTAGTCATGATCAGAAGTGATTCTAAAATCTTGCAGATGTTGTCTTTTTTCCCAAAATGCAGACCCTTTTTTATTATGATATATAATTTTCCCAAAATATGTCTACATACATATAATGCGCATTCTGCATCAGAAAAAACTCCACATTTTAAATCTCTTTCACAGATAAAGAATTTATGAAATACATGTACAGGACTTCACCACATTTTTTTTTTTAAGGAAACTGTTGACGTTATTGAACATGTACGTACATTTGTACATCAACAATAAACATGATGTTCTCAAATACATCAAATAGTTTAATAACCAGTCGTGCTGAAAAGTGTTGACATTCCTTCACATCAATATAGGATTGAGGACATTAACCTCTACAACAGCAGTACAGGTGGATCAAGTGGTGTGTAGTTGTGCATGTTGTATCGATTGGTCCATTGATAAACCTTGATTGTATTCATTGCATTGTATGGCAGTGCACTATCTCACTATCTGGCTGTCATGTACCAGTAATTGTTATTTTCCTTTCGTTGGCATTTACTGTGAAAATGTAAGAATGGCCTTAAATTTAACTTTTAAATATAATTATAAATACCAGATATATAAATTAATTAAGATGTCTGTAGATTTAACTTTTAAAAATGTATAGATCCCGGTCTATTTATGTTAATTTGAATGACAATTACCATGATTACATGTGTGTGTTCACAGTTTCATGATTTTTCATATAATGATGTATATAATGCAATATTGTGTGGCACCTATATCTTTAGTTTATGTCGACTTTTTGATGAAGGACATGTGACATGAATAATCGTGTGATCTTACCACTTGGTACAGAATGATATCTGTACATCAAAGAAATTCAGGTTTGCCCTAGTTAAAAGGACATCCATGTATAGCAAGTTTAATGTAAAATGTAAATGTAATAAATCAGACTATAAAATCTTAGTTATAATGTGTGTGAGAATGTGAGGGTTTCAAAAAATGAATTGAAGCAAATTTTTGTTTTCATTATCATGATTATGAAAAATTGTTGAGATTGGAAGAAAAGTGCACAATATTTTGCTGGAATAAGAAAATTTTCAAATATATTTGTTTTTTGAAAAAAAAAGAAGACTGAATTGGATTATTATCAGAGGGTGGTAACAGGGGGCTTTGAACACGGAAACACTTGAAATAATAATCGCAAAAACATTGCACGGAAAATAAAAATTGGAAAAAACGAAGCACAAGAAATAAAGAAAAAGTAATAGAAGTTATTACTCAGCGGCTGTTCTTGGAGATCATGCAGTCATTATTAATGGACAGACAGACCCTGCAGTCACCTTTTAGCATCCACTAGTTGCAACTGATTTGAAAGAAAAATATTATTCATAATTTGATAGCAATTAATATCCTTTTATCACATAATTCAAAAAATCTCCGGACTAACTTTGAAATTAGTCCCGGTTTACTTTTTAATGAAATTTGGGACAAGCATGAGAAATTAGGAGTACCGACATGAAACACGAAAAATAAATAAGGGGAAACACAAAGCACGCACGTCGAACCAAACACGAGAAATAAAACGTCAAAACACGTGAAATAAAAAGGCTTAAAACATTGCACGAAAATAACCCTTTACCACCCTCTTATCAAACTACGTAGAAAATATATCTTTGTTTACAGGTGACTGGTGTCTGTGGGTTATATACATTATATATATGTACTTGTATAGGAGCTAAGGTTCATTAATCTGGTTAAAAGTGAAGACGTCTATATAATTAACTATATGCTCCTCATCTGTCAGGAAAATTGCAAAATGATCAGTAAAAAAAATAAGTTTAGATTTGCAAAGAGCCAATAAAAATAAAAGATTCACAAACATTCCATCTGACTTGTCTAAGGTACATATTTAGTACCAAAAAATCTCACTGCCTCAGTAACTGGCAAAAACACCCAAACTTTTCTAGTTAACATGTCAACTGATGGAATAAACAGAAAAAGACACATATACTCTGTATTACATGTATTAAGTAACAATATTTACACAAGGGTGCATTCATATATTCACTCATCTTTTGTTAATTACCAGCAATGTTCTTTACAGTTATCTTACATGTATACTGTGATGTCAATAAAAGAAAATATCATCAGCTTCTATACATCAGTGTGACAGCAAACTAACAACACAAAAAAACAGAAATCAACATCATTTATCTTTAGTGGTCGTATATAAGTCTCATTGACAGTCTTGCCACATCTCTTTATTTTTTATATGGGTGGGGTAATCACGAACTTTAAAACAAATAGAAAGCATTTACATCAAATTTAATTCATAAGAAAAATGAAAACTATTAATGACTTGTTAGACTAAATTACTTGCATGGAATTGTGACAATTGTTAAAATTTGATTGATGTTAATTTAGGTCTGTAAAGGAAGGACTATGAATTGTCAGATAAAACCTCAACCAAAGATAAATGTGTTTGAAGGTTTTAAAATGATTGTTAAGAATGTTAGTAGGTGGTATGTTACCTGTACAGAATGTATCAATGGATTTAAATCTTTGTCTTCATTCATGACCCATTTCTTTCCATTTTCTCACAATGGAAAAATGTGAGTGTAAGTTTTAACTGGGGCTGTGGATAATGAAATGGTCTTTATTCTGTAAATGTAAGTAAAAAAAGAACTTTATTCCCTTGTTTTTTGTAATGTAGGGTTGATTAACGGTCAGAAGTTGTTTATGAAGGGAATGTCTGACGTGTGAAACGTTTATTATATATGTTAACTAGTTATCAATCGTTGACATTTCACATTGACCACCTCCGATCAGAAATATATATACATGATCATGATGATATTATGACTTTTACCTTTTTCCTGTTGTTTCATATTCACACAATACGTCAATACAGCTTTAAAACTTCCAACAATAAACATGGTTTTAAAGAGGTTGAAACAAAATGCGTTTTACTTTGTAAACTTCAACAACTTTGACTTTGTCAGTATATACATGTATCAATTTGGAAATTAATACTCTTAAGTTTGGTAAGTGTTAATTATATTTTTACATCATTTCCGAAGTTTTCAGAAAGAAATGTTCATTTTGACAACAGTTTTAATGTACCCCATTGTTCTACTGATTGTACCTTTCATGTACACATTGAATTAAGAGTCACACACAGTATACACATAAATGCATATAAATTATTCTAGAGAGTGCTGAAGATCTTGAATGATTCATTTTTGAAAAAAAATATCTACATGTATATATATACAGTACATGCAATATATAATACAGTTATAAAGAAACACAAAAGGCAAGGCAAAAAAAAAATTACAAGTGAAAGAAGAACAGATAGTACCATGTGACCAAAAAGAAAAAAAAAACAATATTACCACTAATGAACAAAAAGAAAATCCGACAATATTACCATGGACGAACAGAAAGAACATCAGAAAATATTACCATGATAGAACAACAGAAAATATTACCATGATAGAACAAAAAGAAAATATTACCATGATAGAACAAAAAGAAAATATTACCATGATAGAACAAAAAGAAAATATTACCATGATAGAACAAAAAGAAAATATTACCATGATAGAACAAAAAGAAAATATTACCATGATAGAACAAAAAGAAAGTCACTTAGTCAGACATTATTACCATGATAGAACAAAAAGAAAGTCACTAAGACATTATTACCATGATAGAACAAAAAGAAAGTCACTTAGTCAGACATTATTACCATGATAGAACAAAAAGAAAGTCACTTAGTCATTATTACCATGATAGAACAAAAAGAAAGTCACTTAGACATTATTACCATGATAGAACAAAAAGAAAGTCACTTAGTCAGACATTATTACCATAAATGAACAAAAAGAAAGTCCGACAATATTAGCTTAAATGAACAAAAAGAAAGTCAGACAATATTACCATAAATGAACAAAAATTAAAACTAACAATACAATACCATAGCCAAAAAGAAAAAAAGCTAACATGTCCAGAAAACATCTCACTGAAAACTAGATGATTTAGCAACAGTAACCCTACTATGAATCAGGGGTCAAACCATATGATATTGTCCAGAAGGGTCAGCACTTTCTGTTTCACTAGTATAACAGAAGGAAAATCAAGGGAACTGTCTTACAAAGAGCCAAGTTTTAAATTCATTGCCTTATTACTGTTGTACCCTATTTACATTTTTATAAAAACACTATATTAAGAAGTGTTATGTTGTAATAGCAGAGGACAGTGTGTGTAGGAGGAGTGTCTTTTCTTTGAAATTAAACAGTATCCTCAGAAATTTGTATTTGAACATTGATTAAACATGTGAAAACAAGACTGAAGGAAATGCCACCATCTTTCATGACTTTTTTTTATCAAATATTGTCCTCAGTTTTTTTTGGTAATGTTTTTTTTTCCCCTACTAAACATATCTTTTAAAGGTTTCTTGATTGACCACTGCTCATGTGTTTTAAAGACTAGAATCTTGTCTGATCATGCTGATGGGGATGTTGATATAGGATAATGACCCAATATTTTACATATCATTACATGTATCTGTGTTTCATAAGCCAAGATCATCACATGAATTTATAAGGTTACCTCTGCTTGCATCAGACAGAAGATGTCTGATAATGTGTCATTTACCTGGATTTAAATAACCTGTCCCACCAAGACATAGACCTAGCACAAGTTCTGGTTTTACTGTAGAAGTATGATAGTTCAAATAAATAAGGAAGTCCTAAACCGAAACTACCAGGAAGTCTATTAATGTAAGGAGATGTTAAAGTTCCAGTGTACTTACAATTTAGAAGAAATTTTATGTAATCAAGTGTTGGTACATGTAATGAACCAAAGTTTGAGCTTTAAGATAGATTGCAATCAAAATGTTTCTGTGTTAAAAACTTTGTTTCTTTTTCAATAAAAAACACATATATATGTACGTTAATCTTAATACTACAATGTACACTGTACAAACTTCCTGTTTTATAATCGGATTAAGCATGCTTGCAAAAGAAACATATACATGTATTATGTTCTCAAATTCATGTCAGACTTTTTTTTATTAAAAATTAAATTATGACATGATTAACAATAATATTTGCATTGGATAATAAAAAAATTTATTTTCATGCTGTGACTCTGCATGAATTGGCAAGTATATAGATACAACTGACAGTGACACTACACTGTAAATTAAAATATCATATAAGATAGAAATTCTTCAAAGGAATACCTTTGTAAAATAATAGTGTCATTATTAAAGGTGATTTTGCGAAAGGAACACCTTGTGTATTGTATTATTGGGAAAGCTATCTTCCTCGTGTATTGTATTATTGGGAAAGCTATTGACATGTAATAATCTGATACAGACACTGCACACAATGTAGTAATTAGTCGATATCCTCCCATTGTTTTTTTGTTTTCTATTGTTTTTTTTGTTTTCTTATTGTCGTCAAAGTTTGTTGGCTTATTTTTCTTCAGTACAGCCTACCTTCACAATAACCAGAGATATGGTATTCTATAAATATATATTCTGTAGATAAATTGATAATATAATGACAATTAATACACAGATAGAAAAATCTAATTAGGAAGACTTAGATTTTTAGTCTGGACTTAAAAAATCTTATATGTTTACCTAGTCTTTTTATAGGCAAAGGTGATGTAAATGAAAGCTTAATTTATACCAAGGTCATCCACTTCTCGAATCATCTTCAGTGTCAGTTTGTAGTGTAAACATTAAGAACATTACAGCTAATGAAAAAAAACCTACTACATGTACATGTATGAATGTAAATTTATTCTGCTTAGAACCATGAGAGGTAGCGTATGAGTAAACACATATTTACATACATCAACAAATTGGTTTCCTATTTTGTAAGTTTCAGTTATTTATATTAAGTTTGATATAAACACTATATATGCATTAATTTTTTATACATTTTTTCTTTTTCAGTTTTTTGGAGTACATGGTCATACATTTATGGAGTTCGTTACAAACAGCGGGGACTATTGCCAGGCACAGCACGTGTAAACTAAACAGTCATTTACTGTGGTGCTTTATTTGAATCATACGTTCTGTGGCAGTATCAACACACTACTTTGAATGGGTTAATTTGACGGAAAAATTCCTCGACAGGGAAATTCTGCCGAAAGTCTTTCATTTCTGCTTTTCCTTGTATAGATCGTTGGATAAATAGTTCATCCTTGGGTACATTTTGTTCTCACGTTGTTTTATGTGAATTTATTTATTTTGTTCCGATTTTAAAGAGTTTATTTCGTTGTACATTTGTTGACGTAGAATTCTGAGGCGACGCAATCTCATATAATTACGTAAACAATATTGTATCTATGACAAACATGAAGTCACGAAGACCAGAACCTGCTGAAATTGAGTATAAGAACATGCGGTTCCTAATTATGGATCGACCAACAGATTCAACAATGGATAAATTTATAGAGGTTTGTTAAATTGAATTAATTGTGTATATGTGTTTATTGTGCATAGTTTATTACCCATTTGGCTATCTATGCAAATGAAAATCTTTTCAGGAAAAGTGAAAAGTTACTGTGATTTACATAAAAAATTATGTGTATACATGTAAATACATATAACCCCAAAACAGGAGCCAAACCTTCATCTCGAACAAGATATCTCTGTTACCTTCCTGACGACTGATATCATTATGACTGATAAAGAATAAGATTGGTGTAAATATATTTTCAATGGAGTAGCCTAAAAAGCCAACTAGAAAAACTTCTTAATCTTAAACATGCATATATATATATATATGCATTTGTATTGTTAACATAAGTTTTATCAGGGCAGTCAATACAGTTCCACAGTATTTCTATGTCATTTTTTTTTTAATTTAAAATTTTTGGTGGGGTTCAAGTGTTGCTTGATCTTTTTTTTTTAGTTTTTATACGACCGCAAAAAAATTTTGTGGTCGTATATTGGTATGACGTTGGCGTCGTCGTCGTCGTCGTCGTCGTCGTCGTCCAGCGTCATCGTCTTCCGGCGTCGTCGTCCGAATACATATTGGTTTTCGCACTCTAACTTTAGTTTAAGTGAATGGATCTTTTTGAAATTTGACCATAAGGTTAATTACCACAAAAGGAAGGTTGGGATTGATTTTGGGGGTTATGGTACCAACAGTTAAGGAATTAGGGGCCAAAAAGGGGCCAAAAATGAGCATTTTCTAGTTTCCAGACAATAACTGTGGAACGGTGTATGGATCTCTCTGAAATTATACTACAAGTTTCCATACCACAAAGGGATGGTTAGGATTTGCTTTGGGGGGTTATGGCTCAAACCGTTTAGGAATTAGGGGCAAAAAAGGGGGAAAAACAAGGTTGTCCTGGTTAATGGACAAATACTTTAGTACAAAACATAATTTAAAGCAGTGTAAGGGAGATAAATCAAATACATCATTGAAATTATCTCCCTTACACTGCTTTTAAATTATGTATAAAGTAATGGTTAATGAACAATAAAGATAATCTAAAACAGTGTAAGGGAGGTAATCCAAATACAACGTTTTGGTTACTTCCCTTGCACTGCTTTTAAATTATGTTTAAAGAAATGCATATTTTTAAAGAAATGCATATTTATAAAGGAAGACCAGTAAAAATATCTGCAAATGTTTTCATCTTTTTTTTTTACAAAAAAATCCATATGAAAGATTTGACACTATATTTTTATTAATTCTATTATAAAATAGATTAACATGATTAAGTTAGCACTATGGTAAATTTAAATGGGTAATTATGGTTGCCATCTCCATTGGAAATTTGAATTGAGATTATGACCATATCTTGAGGGAAAGAATTTTTTTGGGGGAAAAAGGGGGGGGGGGGGGATAAAAAGAAATTGTGGGGGGCCAATTTTTTCTCATTTCAGATTTCAGAAATTAAAAAGAATTATTCTTCAAATATTATTTTTTTTTTCAAATTTCAAATATTAAAAAATTTCAAGAAGTAATCTTTAATTACACAGTATCACTGTGTATCATCGCCACCGGAAATTGGGTACTAACGAAGCGGAGAGAAATGGAAAAAAAAGTAAACAAGGTAAGAATTCATTCAATTTAAAGCATTTCTACTGATTTGACGAGGGTACCGCTTAAGAAATGATTTTCTGATATATAATTCTTTAAATTATTAGGCCGATAAGTACAAAATTAAGACAAGATTTTGTGTTATACTCAAAAACTTGCCACTTAGTACCTGAAAATTTCGAGGTCGATCGTCTTCTGTCGCCCCATTGGCAAGATATTCAACTGTTTTTCATTATTTTTCCAGACACTTTTTTAGATTATTATAGTGTGGCATCATATTTACTGAAATTTGTTGTCAAAATGAACGTTTTTAAAGAATATAGACCATAAAAAATAAAGTCTAGGGTACGGCAACTTGCTCATGTTGACAAATTTACTGTATGGCATCTTGTTTTCAACTGTATGGCAACTTGCTAATTTCAAAAAATATTTATTTGCCGTCTTTTTAAAGAAAATAAAGTATTAGGTTCAAATATCTAATTATGCATTTGATAAAAATACAATTCGCTTGACACCATTTAAGATGTATACACAATATAAGGCTTGGACACAGTCCTATTACATCTTTTACATACCTGATGTATACAATATGAATACGGCATATACAAAAGCTGGCAAATGTTGTAACTTTCGGAAAGGCATGTCACTGTTTTACTGACCTGTTGTTCTGCCCTGACGTAGCGTTAAATGTTACCCATGTCCGTCCGACCCGTCTCTCCCGTCCGTCCAGAAAGTCCCAATAATTGGTTTCCGTTCTCTAACTTTAGTATGCCTTAACCAAATGTTTTAAAACTTACACGAAATGTTTATCACCACTAAACACAGATCAAGTTATATTGGGTAAATAAATTGGGTAGCGTCACTGTTACCGTTCTTGAGTTATGCCCTTTTATAAATGAAAAAAAGCTAAAGCTGTCGTTTCTGTTCTCAAACTTTAGATTGCCTCAACCAAATGTTTTAACCATACAACATTAGTCAGCATTTGCATATAAGTGATGAACATTTCGGGGATGGGTTGTGGGTGGAGGGAAGGAAGGAGGTAATGGCAGGAGAATTTTTCCGCATTGAATATTTAGAACCATTAAGTGAATGAATTTTCTTTCAACTTTCAGATGAAATGAAATATAAATGAATTATCATTCTCTGCAAAAACAAATGTTGTATTGCTACACCACGGCACCATGTTAAGGGATGTTTGAGTGCTCACAAACATGTTTAAGCCCGCCTCAATGTATATGTGTCTGTCCCTGGTCAGGAACATGTAATATAGCGGCTGTCGTAAGTTGCTGCCTGACATATTTGTTTATGATTTTGTCATAAATCAGGCAATTTTGATACGGTATGGGTTTTGTTCATTGTGAAGTGCATAGTAACCAATAGTTGGTCAAACCTATTTCATTTGGACTTTGTTTGAATGTCCTCTCAGTGAAAACCATTCCACGTCTCCTTTTTCAATTAATGTAACTGTCTTATTTGTAAAAGGCAGATACAGCCAATATATTAGAATAAAGAACATTAATTTTCTAAAAAAACAACTTCATCTCTATATAGTAAGAAATAAACAAGCTCGGTGGCTAACACTGTTTAAATTTAAAAAAAATATTAACCTTAGATTAATCATTTTTGGAAAGAATGAAAGAAGAATCCGATACAAGGGATACAAATCTGGCTGTGGCTACGGCATAAACTATTTATATAAACTTTCTACTTGAGAATAAAGATGACCTTGTATGAAGTTTTTTTTGGTTGTCATCTTAATATTATATACTTATTAATACTATTCACAAAAGCTAGCATCTTCGACTTGTAAGTTTAAAGAATTATAATGAAATAACATCTAATAACGACAGGTTGAAATATTTTTGAATCCTGATGGTGCATACTCATAAATTCTTTTGAAAAAATCCACGTAAATTTAAATGTTGATTTGATAGCGTTCATTTATTTATTTGCCTTCGTAAACAGTTTTGTTAAAATACCGAAATCGGTAAATTCTTATCGTGAACGAATAAGTCAGGTACACCTTTTTACATTCAGGCGTGCTCAAGTTGCACTTTTTTCTTCGTATTAAGAAAAATGATCATAGTTTTAGCATCTATCTTAAGATTAGATTATTTACACACACACAAAAATAGGGCTTACCGTTTATTTTGAAACTCTATGAATTCACATTTATATTCAACCAAACAGATAGGCCGAGATCCATACCTTTATAAGTTTCAAAACTGAGAAGGTGTGTTTGAAAACAAATAATCACGTACTTTTACTGAGAAATATTATACATAGTAATCATGAAAATGTACTACTGTAACAATGAAAATTCGGACGAATACACTCCTTTTCACTACCCCTCCATCTACTCATTTAAGTTTAGACCAAACAGCCTTAGCAACAGTCTTTTATTATTTTTTCCCTGTAAATAAAAAGATTGATTGAATTTACTTAAACTAAACAAAAAATACAATCTTATTTTCAATAAGAAACAAGAAAATTAATTCGAAACACAATTCATGATTTATTTCTCCTAATTTTCAATGAAAACAAAGAATTTTCTTCACTTTTCTTTGAACAAATTATTCATTTCAGAAATTTTAAAAATAAACAATAAACAATGTTGAAGACCGTACCTTGACCTATAATGGTTTACTTTTATAAATTGTGACTTGGATGGAGAGTTGTCTCATTGGCACTCATACCACATCTTCCTATATCTATTTAACCCAGCACATTCTTTATGTGTCTGTCCGAAGCCACGAGCCTGTAGTTTGGTAGTTGTCGTTGGTTCATCTCTATCATATTTGTTATTTTTCGTTAATTGTTTTGTTATGAGTTAGGCCGTTAGTTTTCTTGTTGAATCCTTCCACAATTTTCATGTCGGGGCTTTTTATAGCCGACTGTAAGGTACGATTTTTCGTTGTTGAAGGCCAAACGATAGCATATAATTGCTTACATACTCTTTATTTGACCCTGGTGGATAGTTATCTTATTTGCAATCATACAACATCTCCACTGTTTATATTTAAAAAAAAAACCAGCGCCAACAAAAGATGAATGGTCGTTTTTTTTATTGAACTTACAAAATTTCACCCTGACAACAAATAACTAACAGTCGTTAGTATTATAACGATATATGAATGTATAAAAATTTAGGATGATATGGTTGAAAAAAACCTTTTTGTCTTTAAAAACACAAAGTCAAATAGAGGTACGCAACGACGACTTCTGAACGAAATTAACGGCATATATTTTATAATATTTGATAAGTAGTTTATTTTGTATATTTGTAAGCCGGTAAAGCTTTGATACAGCCAAAATTTCGTCACTTGATATTATCTAAACAGTGATTAATTTCATCTTTAAATTACAATATATTGCAAGACGCCGTACAGACAAAAATTGTTATTTTGCAATTCGCCGTACAACGTCCTGCAATTCGCCGTACAATAAAAAAACAATGTTTTGGTCCATATTCTTTAAAAACATCTTTATGACAACAGATTTCAGTCAAAATGATGTCACACTATCATAATCTAAAAACGTGTCTGGAAAAATAATGAAAAACAGTTGAATATCTTGCCAATGGGGCGACAGAGGACAATCGACCTCGAAATTTTCAGGTACTAAGTGGCAAGATTTGGAGTATAACACAAAATATTGTCTTAATTTTATACTTATCGGCCTAATAATTTAAAGAATTATATATCAGAAAATCATTTCTTAAGCGGTACCCTCGTCAAATCAGTAGAAATGCTTTAAATTGAATGAATTCTTACCTTGTTTACTTTTTTTTCCATTTCTCTCCGCTTCGTTAGTACCCAATTTCCGGTGGCGATGATACACAGTGAGTATGGCGCATTAGATTTGTAAAATCTTTGATCACATTTATTTATTTGTTATGCCGAATCTAACAGTGTATTTAGATTTTTAATTTTGGGTCCAGTTTTCAAATTGGTCTACATTAATGTCCAAAGGGTCCAAAATTAAACTTTGTTTGATTTTAGCAAAAATTGAATATATGAGGTTCTTTGATATGCTGAATCTAAACATGTATTTAGATTTTTGATTTTTGGCCCAGTTTTCAAGTTGGTCCAAATTGGGGTCCAAAATTAAACTTTTTTTGATTTCAACAAAAATTGAATATATGAGGTTCTTTGATATGCTGAATCTAACCATGTATTTAGATTTTTTATTTGTGGACCCTGTTATCTAATTGGTTCATATTGAGGTCAAAAGGGTCCAAAATTAAACTTTGTTTGATTTCATCTAAAATTGAATTATTGGGGTTCTTTGATATTCCAAATCTAACCGTGTATTTAGGTTTTTAATTTTGGGTCCTGTTTTTTAAATTGGTCTACATTGAGGTCCAAAGGGTCCAAAATTAAACTTAGTTTGATTTTAACAAAAATTGAATTCTTGGGGTTCTTTGATTTGCTGAATCTAAACATGTGTTTAGATTTTTGATTATGGGCCCAGTTTTCAAGTTGGTCCAAGATAGGGTCCAGTATTTAAACTTTGTTTGATTTCAACAAAAATTGAATATATGGGGTTCTTTGATATGCTGAATCTAAACATGTATTTAGATTTTTGATTATGGGCCCAGTTTTCAAGTTGGTCCAAATTGGGGTCCAAAATTAAACTTTGTTTGATTTCAACAAAAATTGAATATATGAGGTTCTTTGATATGCTGAATCTAACCATGTATTTAGATTTTTTATTTGTAGGCCCCGCTATCAAATTGGTTCATATTGAGGTCAAAAGGGTCCAAAATTAAACTTTGTTTGATTTCATCGAAAATTGAATTATTGGGGTTCTTTGATATGCCAAATCTAACCGTGTTTTTAGATTTTTAATTTGGGTCCCGTTTTTTAAATTGGTCTTCATTGAGGTCCAAAGGGTCCAAAATTAAACTTAGTTTGATTTTAACAAAAATTGAATTCTTGGGGTTCTTTGATATGCTGAATCTAAACATGTGTTTAGATTTTTGATTATTGGCCCAGTTTTCAAGTTGGTCCAAGTTGGGGTCCAAAATTAAACTTTTTTTGATTTCAACAAAAATTGAATATATGGGGTTCTTTGATATGCTGAATCTAACCATGAATTTAGAATTTTTATTTGTGGGCCCCGCTATCAAATTGGTTCATATTGAGGTCAAAAGGGTCCAAAATTAAACTTTGTTTGATTTCATCGAAAATTGAATTATTGGGGTTCTTTGATATTCCCAATCTAACCGTGTATTTAGATTTTTAATTTTAAGTCCCGTTTTTTAAATTGGTCTACATTAAGGTCCAAAGGGTCCAAAATTAAACTTAGTTTGATTTTAGCAAAAATTGAATTCTTGGGGTTCTTTGATATGCTGAATCTAAACATGTGTTTAGATTTTTGATTATGGGCCCAGTTTTCAAGTTTGTCCAAGTTGGGGTCCAAAATTAAACTTTGTTTGATTTTAACAAAAATTGAATATATGGGGTTCTTTGATATGCTGAATCTAACCATGTATTTTGATTTTGGACATTGGACCATAATAGGTAAATTAAAAAAATTCAAGTTCTTAGACCACATTCTTTCTGTGTCAGAAACCTATGCTGTGTCAAATATTTAATAACAATCCAAATTCAGAGCTGTATCAAGCTTGAATGTTGTGTCCATACTTGCCCCAACTGTTCAGGGTTCGACCTCTGCGGTCGTATCAAGCTGCGCCCCAGCGAAGCATTTTATTGTGTCATGTTTTGTTATTGTTTGTCTTTTTAGTTGTCTCTTTGGCCATGGTGTTGTTTGTTCCTTATGATATTTGATTTTTGATTGCCATTTAGGTACATGTATCTTCCCTCCCTTTTACATCCTTGTCCTTTAGTCTCTGGTTGAACGTTGTCTCTGGCCATGGTGTTGTTTGTTCCTTATGATATTTGATTTTTGATTGCCATTTAGGTACATGTATCTTCCCTCCCTTTTACATCCTTGTTCTTTAATCTCTGGTTGAACGTTGTCTTGCATTCATACCACATCCCCTTATTTTATATATTATAATTTTAGCTATATAGATTTAACAAGTCTTCTGATTGGCTAAAAGTTTTTAGTCTATCAGCTCACAGACATAATTTTGTCATGTGACCATGATGTCATCAATGTTTTTTTCATGATTTACTCCTTAAAAATGGAATTTAGAATTAAATTATAAGGAATGACTGTAATGTTTTTTCTGTCTATTCGAAGTAACCTAAAAAAATGTGGTGTACACTTTAGAATAACCCGCTATGTGGGTTATTCAGTGTGCACCACATTTTTGATGTTATTTCTTCATAGACAGAAAAAATATAACAGTTATTCCTTAGATAACAGAAAAAATATACAGGTAACCAACCAACCATAATGCTAGTAATAATGATATTATAATTTTAACAGTTGTCTCCCCTGAAACTTTTAACTCCTCTTACGTAGGGTCAGTCGTTAATATCACAGAATAACAGGTAAAAGTTAAAAGAATTTTGTGTTGATTGATGCACATTCAGTCTAGACTTTGGATGATTTAGAGATTTATCTTATAGACATATATACATTGTACATGTAAATGTAGCACATGTCAGTTGTTGTAAACTGTATGCTGTCCTTGATGATGTGGTTTAGGGTTGGTGTCTCTTAGATGTGCACTTTTCCTAAAACTGCATATTAAAATGCAAATACATGTATATTCCATGTTTCTGTGGTCAAAAAATAGAAAAACAAAATTTTATTATTTTGTTGGCACTGTATATATGATGGCAATCACGTTTGATAATGTTGGAATCTTCTTTTTATTCTGGATGTTAAGTATAAAGCAACTACATTTTATCAGTCAGTAAATTCCTTTTATTCCATGACATTCATGACCTGCCATTCCAAGTTACCATGCACATGATGCATGGCCTTCCAATCCAATATAACAATTACTAGCCATTGTAAAGAGCATTTCAATGCTCAACAAATGCCTAATTGTACTGAACCGACTGTGCGAGGGCTTAACACGAACAGCCAGTCGAGGTCGTTAAACACCACCGAGTAGTAGTAGTTAATGGTTAACTCAGAAATAATGGTTACTGTAAATTCAGAAATTATTGCGTGCATTTATTATTGCGATTTTGTCATTTGAGACTAAAATGCGATTTTAATTTTTGCGATATTGAGAAAAATCTTGTTTAATTCATATAAAAAATTTCAAAATGCGAGTTTAAATCATTGCGAATATAACCTTGTCGCATTTTTCGCAATAATAAAAAAATCGCAATAATTTCTGAATATACAGTAACTCAGAAATATTTATGTGCATTTACTTTTTATCAATTATTATTTCAATCTTTCATAAACATGATAAACAGAATAGTTTTTTAATTGAATTTTTAATTGATATATATTACTTTCTTTTCCATTTTGATATAAAAAAAGTTCTTTTTAATATTACTAGATATTTAGTTAGTAGTTTCTGACAAGAGGACCTATATAATTGTGCAACTAGAAATGATAAACTGAAACAATTGTTACATGTACTTTAATTGTATACTCAGGTATACATTGAAAAATATAAAAAAAATAGATAAATAGGATACATATGGCCCTTTTTATTATAGTCAAAATCAAAAAACATTGTAGGGAGCATTTCTCTTTCAAATCTCACCACTTCTCCATATTAGTTTCAAAAAGAGAAGTCACTTCTCCCTATGATTCTGAAGTAGTGTGAGCCCTGTTTATTATTTCAATTTTTGAACAATGGACAAAAAATAGTAAATACAAAGATTGATTGTTATGATGTCAGGAAATCCTGCATAAAAATAATGCAATTAGAATTTAAAATGCAAGTTTCAAAAATCTAATCAGTCACAGTCTTTGCAAAAATAACACATTGCAAACATTTCTGAATTAACACTAGTGGAAAGAATGCAATTTCCATTCATCATAGTGCAAAATCTTTTATAAATACATTATAATAGTATATAAGGAATAAGGCCCTTCTTAAATAATATATAAACTGTTAAACAAATTATAAAATATTTTCAGGAACTGCATAAGAAAGGAGCTAAAGATGTAGTACGTGTATGTGAGCCGACTTATAAAACAGAGAAACTTGATGCCCAGGGAATACGGGTACTTGTAAGTATATTAATACTTCATTTGTATATAACCTCCTCTGTTCAGAAGTATTAGGTTATTGGGATTTCCAATAAGTGAGTTATGACCACAGAGTCTCAAACAAGAAGGCCACTTGAGGCAGAAATTCAAAGGCTTGACACCTTTCATAGTTACAGCAAGCTTCCCTTCCTCACAATGTGATTGCTAGCATTTCTCTACTCATTTCATTTTCAAACTGGTTTTCATGAGATTATAATTTTTTCAGAAAGTACCTCTTTTGACAATTTCAAAAGTTTTTACGCTAAAATGTAGTCATGATTGATATCAAAATTATATTATGAAATAGATTTACAAATTTTGCATAATTTTCTAATTTTTGTTTGGATTTGGCTGTTTACAATACCATGAGAAATGCTAGAAAATTTTAATACTATGGATACACACTGCTATGGACAATCAGGGACCTACACAATCTTCACTCTGAACCACTGGCCCACCAGCCCAGGCTTATAAAATTGATGTCGGGTCTGTAAATATCAGGTCTACAGGGCAATAGAATCTAACTGAAATTATAGTCAAATTGAACTTTGAGCCTGTGGATTCAAAAGTTTATTGTGAAGACTGCTTACAGGCTGTTATAATATGTTACAATTATAATTTAAGACATACAATCACATGTATTACAACACAAGGCTTAAAAAAAAATGATATGAAAAAACAGTATGCCTGTTTCATTTCAAGTGCTTGTTCAACTTTGAATAGGAAATTAAGTCCAGCAGTAAAATCTTATCTAGAGAAAAAATTAAAAATTAAATTCCAAAATGGTTACAATACTGAAACAGACACAGGTGCTTTAAAGTTATCTTATGATTCTATATATATATATATGTTGTTTGTGCTGTATTTACACCCCTCTACCAAGAAATTTGTTTTGCATGCACACGTTTAAAAATTGCGGTTTTTATCCAACACAATCATAGGTTTGAACGTTGTTTTCAATTTAGACTTATTTATATTTTTTCGTTTGGGCTTGTATTATATTTGCCTTCTGGTTTTTATGATCCGTTCATCCTATTTCGACTCTTTAAAATTCAAGAGTCCATCCTAAATTGAGGTAAATTATTTGGCCTTCCAAATACCTTTTCGGTTCCTAACATCACTGAAGAGACATTAATTGTCGAAATCGGGATATGGTGTACAAATTTTTGCACCTCATGTTTGCGGTATACCATCTTTTCCGCAAGTTTATTGTTTTCTGTTTGATATTATTGAATTAATAAATTAAATAAAGATCCATTTTGTTACATCTTGTGATCCGTTTATTTGGCAATCGCCAATGGCAGTCAGCAGGGTTTAAGAACATCCATTGTTCGACCTGTTAGTCAAATGCGTTTTGTTTAAATATACTTTTTCACTTTTTTGGTCTTTTGGGAAATGTTGTTTGTGCTGTATTTAGACCCCTCTACCAAGAAATTTGTTTTGCATGCACACGTATAAAAATTGCGGTTTTTATCCAATGCAATCATAGGTTTGAACGTTGTTTTCAATTTAGACTTATTTATATATTTATATATATAGCTACTTGTGTCTGAAAAGCATGTATATTTTCATTTCCATGGGAAAGTAATATAAGTGCTTTAGGGTTGTTTTCAAGAACTACTAGCATTCTCTTTGTCACTTTGTAATCCCAAGGGTTAACTCTGGTGTAGACATATGGTCATTTTTGGACTTCTCCTACATGATAGTCAAACTCCTGAAAAAGTGGGGTGTCCTTTTGGTTGTACAGGATGTTTGAACATGTTGATGGTTGTCTTATATCTTAATGGTTTTTGTCATTCAGAAGTTTTGTTTATGTCAATGACAGGTCTTTGATATTCTTTTATATATATTTATTCACAACTTTTAATAACTTTTGCTGATTTATGGCTGATATATATTTTACATGTTGTTAAGACACCTTTCTTTTTTTTCTACTGTAAGTTGATAGATGTAAAGGTGTTTTTGTTGATTGGTTGCTGTTTCATTGACATATAAACCTCATCTCTTTCAGTCTTCATGAAAAACTTCTGTTTAGCAAGTCAGAAAATCAGTCTTTCATAAAATTTCTTTAAAGTTATATGGTTTCTGAGGCCTCCAGGTAAATTTGGCTGACCAAACAACATTTTTGCTTGCCATGGGCGTAGCACTTGTGGTAAATCGTGAAGACTACTTCTTTTATTCAGATTTATGAATAGACTTTATATAAGGAAATAAACCTAGAAATACAAGCCTTAGAGAAGCAATGAGAATCTTTACCTGAGTAGTTTTATGTACATGTATTTATCATTACACGGAGCTTCCTGTTGTTTGTAACAATACCTTTTATACCATGCATACTTAAATGTAGTCAGATTACCAACTGTTTGTATGTTTAGTAGGAGATTGGCCTGTGAATTCTCACAGTTTAATCCTATTAAAAACAGAATATTTAATGTTTTGTCGTTTGGTTATGTATTTCTCTGTCTGAGGGTAATAGATTAGTATGTTTGTTAAGTACCCAATGACACGGGTATCTAAGGAATGAAAATGTACTGGTAGAGTACTTGTAGGTCGTAAATAATCACCTTAACTCAGTTCAAGACCATTAACAACTATCGGTCAGTTACGTCTGTCTGTCTGAGGCTTTCATTTATTTGGTGTTACGCCAAAATAAAAATACTTGTGTTATGGATTCCCTTACCTACCCAATTAATTATGCCTCAAAATTCTGATCTTAACGTTTTATTGGCACTTATGGTAGAAAATCTTCACCAAATTGCAAGTCTCTCCATTTACACTTAGTAGGTAAACACGGGAGCAAAATATAACATGCCCTACCTACCTACAAATGTACCACATACATATATATACAGTCTTCACGACGAACTGCTAAATCTACAGGCCTGGAGCTCAATTTTTGAAAATTTTTAGTTAGATTCTGTTGGCTTGTAGATATGATTTTTACAGGCCCGAGAGCAATATTACAAGCCTGGGCTGCCTGGGCTGCCACTCAGCGTGAAGACTGTATATATATATATGTATATATGCTTTCGTCTGGATTTACCAATTCTTGTCACTGTAGTATAATATAATACAAAAAGTTGAAATAGTAATAACGAGCTCAAAATTAATATTCAGTCAATGTATTAATCTCGTATACATGTATATTAATGATTTTTTGTTTTGGTTAATCCAGAAATTTCAATAATTAAGTTTCTTAATTATATAAGAAATCGTCCCCCAAAGAAATTAAACAGTGCAACTAAACACTAAGTCAGAAATTTTGTTACCCCCTCTACCCCCTCACAATAAATTTTTGGAAATAAATTTCAATATTAAATATCAAATTGAAAAAAAAAACATATTGCAAAATATTCATATAATTTCACAAAGAACTGCAAAATTTACACAAATTAATTTTTCGAGTTTTTCAAATCCTTATTCTTTTTTATGATTAATAGAATCAAACTTGTTTCATTATCAATTTAAAACAGGACACACATTTTCCAAAAAAACAAATGATTTAATATATACTTCCAAGAAATGGTTAAAATGACAGTTGCCAAAAAACAGAATGAGGAAATTGCATCTGTAGTATTTTTGATAATTTATCAAGGAAGTAAAATAGATATTAAACTTGTATCACTGTGTACCATGTCTTCAGGACATTCATCAATATGAATTCCCTTCTGGTACCTCTGACTATTTGTAGGACACACAAGGACACCTAATCCTATCTTATTATCCAATGACCTTGTATTCAGGTCATTGAATATTTACTCTGGTCATTTAATGACCAGATTATATAATTTTTGTAAAGGACCTTGTAGTTTAATTGAAAATATTGGCTAAGTGTGTTTCTCAAAATGTTAAGTTTAATATGTAGAGCTCTAGTAAGGTTGTCATATTAATGATTTAGATGTGAATTTTACATGTATGGTCAAGGCTGATGCTAGGCTACAGTCCCAGATATGTTAAGAACTTGAAACAGGGGGTGCCATTATATATTCTCTGTACGTTTCAGTTTTGTGAAACAGAGATGTGCAAATTCTTCTCTGATGCAGATGAGATAAATGTACATGTATATAATTTTGTATCAAGATTTGACAATATTTGGTTGAAGATGGTAAAAAAGATTGGCACTCATATGATATTCATGTACAAATCATGTTTATTTTTTAAAACAATACATTTCCTGGAAATTCTAAATTTATTGACAAACCAATTTTTCTTGGAAAGGTGTTGTTTACCATACAACAGAGATACAATATAAGAGAGACCTGTATACACATGTACATATATATGTAATAGAATTGTCTCATTGAAAAGGATAAATTCTCTCACAAAAACATGTTGCAAGAAGCAGAGCTCTAAATTTAAAAAAAAGCTTCAAAAATGCTGTAGACCTCTAACTGACACCCAGGAAGCCTCAAACTAACTGTAATTTATAACAGGGCATTTCAATTTTGGGTCTATATTTAAAAATACAAAAATTTTCTAATATAGAATTAGCTGTAGACTTTATTAAAAAACCTGGTTACTGTGGATTCATATATTTTCATAAGTACCAATTTTATCTGGATTGAGGAAAAATTGTAGTTTCCTGGATATGATTTTGTGGTTTTACCAAGGACAAGGTCTTCAAATACACCTATAGAAAATTTGTATTTCGTTGAACATTAAAAAATTTATGGTTCATGTTTACCCTTGAAATCCATGAAAATATGTATTCCACAAATAATAATCCACAGTATTAATTGTATATAAGACTCTAGTTACAGTTTCTATTTCCTGTCTAAACATGCATGAAATATTTGCCACTGGATGTTAAGCAACCAACAATAAATCAATCCTATTACATGCCTGAATGAAATTTATTTGTGTGCAAAGTTATCTTAGTTAGGGCATTCATTCATTTCTGGTTCAAATTTGACATGAATTTATATATTCAAAATGAAAAAAAAAATATTTGATTGCCTAGCAGGTTAAGTCATTGCTATTAC